TCTTTGACATTATTAATTCATTACAAACGAAACAGCTGATCAAGAAATCAAACAAATCACCTACTTCATGTGAACAATGTTTTTACACAAACATAGTTTTTTTTTTTTTTGCATTAAATTGATTCTTTTTTACTTGTGGGTGTATTTTGAGTTTGCAGTTATGAAAGCACCAAGCCAAGTAACTTTTACCTAATTTTCTTTATGATAAAAGTTTGCTAATTTAACAGTTTGCTACAAACATTTTACTGACTTGGTTGAAATGAAATACATATTTACTATTTGAATTTAGGTTGGCGTAAATATTACAATGGAAAAAGCGAGAGAACCTGGATAAATTGATATATTCTGTTATGTACATCTTGAATATTTCCATAATCTTAGGGTCGAATCTCTTAAAAATATCAGAAATTATGACCGTTATTCCTTTTAAAATAACGACTCTAATACTTATAAATTGCTCGAATTCGAGCAACAGGGACACTAGTTGCATATAAAATCCAGACAGCGCACGGAACAACATCGATAAAGGGGACCCTACATCCTATGTCCTCTGTGACATTTAGGAGTCCTCTCACAAAATATCCACTCAAATTTGAATGTTTATACAGTTTTGATACCCGCTCGCCCTAGCCCAATGCAAGAGTAGGGGGGGAGGGGGGAAATAGGGAGTACTGTATTTCAAAGTAATATATCAAGTTGGCAGTTTTATCGAGGGTCTCCCCTATTAGGCCCGGAGTGAATTCCACAATAATGTAGAAGATCTCGGCGCCACTGCGAGGGGAGAGCACTGTTCTAAGTATACATCCCATCTCGATGATCTCAATTCAAATCAAATAGAACACAGTTGAATTATCCACTTACAGAGAGAGCTGCTATCAAAATACAGTTTTCTCGCTTAGTTTTCGGCACTACGGTAATCGTTGTTGTGTATTCATTAACAACAAGTTTCTCTTGCGTTTCTTACGGTCAACAATCACATTTTCATCATATTGCCCGGAAAGCAGCCGTTTTTAGTTCTCTATTGGTTAAAAAGCTAGCGTAATCGACTGAAACCAGTAATTATTGACAACAGCGCATTCTGACTGCAGATTGTCAGTAAAAACTGGCTACAGCTTTAACTGGAGAATAGGATATCTCTGTATATTCATAGTTTTCTTTTTTTTCTTAGGACGCTGGGCACGAGTCCGGTATTCTTTTTCACGATACTTCTAGACCTAGGGGTTGCGGCATTATTACTTAGAAAAAATCGTGATTTGGCAAGATTTGAGCCCAAGACCCTTGGGACCAAAGTTTCGAGTTCTACCACTATACCAGCCAGCTCTCCTAGTATGTAGGGTAAGATACTGCTGATTGCGGTTAGTAGGCTATATCACCTTTGCTGACAAAATATCCAGACTACCGTGTGAAATAATAAACCGTTCCCATGATAAGACTGTTACAAACAGCAAGATTATGGAATTATTACCATGGTTCTACGTAAACCAAAAACGTACTGCTGTAAAAGTGCGATTCTTTAAGGTAGTTACCCTTTACAGAAGAAAAAATCTTTCTTCCAATTACAGTGAGGTTTAATTTAGCTTAACCACTTGATTTAGAAGAGTAATCTCACCAATCTGTATATGTCATTGTCAAGTTAAGTAACGATTGCAGTGATTGTACGGTGTACAGTAGTCGACAGAAGCCACGAAGGTGTGAACGTGGGAGTTCCCATGAAGATAGATGAATGAAGCATAATGAAGGACCGTGACGGGAACTATCTGAAGGTGGGATATTGAACGAGATGTGACGGAGACTGCATCTCATGACAGAGACCTACCAGTCTAGACGTTATACTGTATCTTGTATTTGTATACAACACTAGCTGGCTCAATCATGTCCTGGTTGGAGCTCGTTCGCTACGCTAACTCGCCTCCAGGTTGTAGTTTGTTCGCTACCATAGAAACGACCAAATTATTCTCAAGTATAGGCCTACGTTAGGTGTAAAACTTTGGAGATTCTATACAAGTAATACTTACTGGGCCAAACTTAGCACACATTTTGGTTTTTATTTACTATAGCTATCTAGTAATTAAATTACTTTAAAATATTAAATCTGATGCACTAAATAAACGTTCCTAAAAATTAGCTAGTACAATTAGCCAACCAAACAGACCATGGCCCTTATGGCAAACCATATCTACCACTTCTGTGCACACATTTTACTGATAAGATAAGGAGTGTGAAATCAATAAATACAGTGTTCCAAGTCTGATAGCGATGGGGCTACATAATGTCAACAAGCACATTCAATTTGTACTACGTAATAGTGAGTAAAAAAAGTGCAAGTGAGCATATTATCACTGTGTTTTAATGCAATCAAATTATGTTTTTTTAATGAATAATGTTACTAAACTTTCAAATAAAAAATCTAAAAGAGTTGTTTTTTGTTATAGTAAATTTTAATGAGTTTATTATTTCCTTGTACGTATCTCTTCCATACATTGTTAAAGAAATCTACAGTGAGATACAGAGAAGGACGTGTGTAACTTTTACTTTTCCATTACTACTGCTTTACATAGCACTCAAACACAGTTAACTTCTAAAACGATACCAAACAAACTGTTTACCGAATAATACACCGTTTCATGTAATTTCACCTTGTTCATTTTGCGTTCATCTACCCTATTGACATCTTTACGCCGTATGTAAGGGAACGGTCCAGACCCTGGTTTTATTTACGTTGAACTATTGTTAGAAAACTTATCAATTGCCTAGTAGAATCGATCTCGCTTTGAGTTTAACCAGTGACCAATATTTAAAGGAGAGCACTGTAACCCAACAAATTATCGTCTAGTTTAACTTAACGATAGTTTTTCTTCAGAAATTTGTTTCATTTTAAATCAAAGTGACAAGCTGAAAATTGAATTTCAAAAATAAACTCTTTGACTACTCACCGTATCAACAGAGAACACTCACGCACGCACACACACACTCACACCAAAACAGACGCGTTATTAGTGACAACTGCAGTGTCTGAAGCGAGAAGAGTGGCTGAGCTAACCGCAGCAGCAGATGCGACTACTGACTCACTGACTACTGACTAATTACTGACTGTGATAAGTAACTCAAGGTCACTCGGTATCAGTCAAGGTCATGGCGATACCACCTTTCCATACGTATCGTAGTTGTACAAATTGGCAATAGAATGAATGAGATTATACCTTCTCTGTTAGCCATGTCTTAATTAGTAAATTATTTTTTGATTAAGACATGTATAAATAATTAAGAGTGTGCAAAACAAGTAAGCATGACGCCTATAACTGAAATTATTTATAAAATTCACAAATATTCAGGGGGGGGGGTTTTATAAAGTCCTATGCAATAGAATAGAAAAGTTCTATAATGTCTAAAACTAAGTTATTTAAGAGTTTTATGATGTCCAAGACAATTAACTTTTCTCACATGCAAGAACAAAATTGTCCTAAACAGTCATGGCTGACACTCTTTTAAATTAGTGTAGAATGTTTTCAAATTAATTAAAAAGACAAATTTTGATATAATTATTTTACACCTTTGGTTACCGGGATTAAAAGGTACTGTACTTTTTAAAGGTACTGCAGTGCGATATCTCCAATTTGAACATGATTTATAACCAATTGATTGTGTACGTAAATATTTATCTTAAATGATTTTGTGCTTTTTCATTATTTTGTTCTCTTAATTTTTATTTTTCCTTAACACTGAATACTCATTTAGCCAATGTTATTTATTGGTTTATGGTCATCATGCAATGTTTGCATTTTTATAATAATCTATCGTAAAAGACAACTGAAAAAATCACATTATGCTTGACAAGTTACAGTTAAGCTGGCGAATTAAACCTCAGTCTTTACCCCGGACTTCATAGTTTGTTAAAACCAGATTAGTAACTGTTATTTATCCCAATGATCGTTGATTTCTGGTAAGTTAAGCAAGTTTAGAGTGTAAATCAAATCTGACCTCTAAATAACAATTGACTACTAATTGTTTCCAAGAATCCGTTGAAGTAATGATTTGTATGTTCATTATCATTGGGAAGAGGAAATAAAGTTTTCTTGTTATTTCACTTAATTAAGAGAGCCGTTAATGAAACCATGCAAGGTTCCTTATCTAATCAAGAAGTAGGTTTTTACGGCTTGTTTACTACAAACAACTCTGTGCTTGAGAGGGAGTTTGGATTGTTCACTTGTTAACTAATTAATATAAATCCAATATTTTAGACCACTTTTATATAGTATGATCCTTAATCGCTTGGAAATTAATCAGTTTTCTTGCACATTATGAAACCAATCGTATTCCAGTATTTCCTGCCACCGATGTAGGACGATTTATCTTGTCGGACGTTATAATACAACAATCCAATCAAAATATACTACATTTTGTTACAAATTTTTTATAAATTAGTTCATTGCAGAAAGTAAGTAAAAATAGAACTGAGGAAGAATATTAACAAGTGCTAAGCAAATCTAGGCATACCTTAACACATTTGAGGTGGCTTCAAAGAAACTGTCCTTTAACTTAGGGTACATTATTTTACCTTTTACCACAGGGTAAAGTCCCATGCATTGTCAGGGTTGTTGCAAGTCTCAAAAATGAAAATGAAGGTAGTTGAATTGATCCACCGATGGAGTGCGCTGATGTAAATTACCCATTTTTGGTAAAATATGCAAATCTTTAATCAAACTAAACTGAAAAACACAACTTTTAGATAACTATAGCACCGTGTTACTTAAATCCATCGTAGTATTACAAATTATGCAAGCAAGTTTATTTAGTAAAGTTATTTCGATAGAAAATTCGCTAGAGCTGGTCTTTATAAGGGAGGTCTACAACAGTACCCACAAGTGAATGCTTGAAGTTTTGCAATCACCTAGATTTTAGCAATGTGTGACGGTTCCGGGCTAGAACCTAGTATCCTAGGATGTGAACATTGAGCAAAAACATGCTGTCCCTACTAAAGTGATACAACTTCCTAGACGTACCTTCAGGTAGGGGATGCAGGGTGACGGCTGTGCTGAGTCGTCCACCCCCTAGGCTGACAAGGTGAGGAGACTCCGTGTGGACCTTCAGGGCTCTGCCCTCCTCCTCTACGGCAACCCCCGCCCCCGCCCCACCCGTCATCTGGAACAGGACACACAAGGATGGTACAGTAGACGTATCTACAACCAGAAGCGGCCCTACATATGGGCGAACAAGGCGGTGCCTGGGGCCCCACTCTTTTCAGGGGCCCACACAGCCGTATTTCGCCTAGGGCCCCGCAATCTCTAGGGCCGCCACTGTCTACAACTGGTTGTAGGACAATCAGTCCCTGGGTTCACTTACCGAGGCTTGGTTGAAAATATTTTGGCTGTGATGGACAACAACTAGCTCACTAACAAACTTTGGGACTGGTTAACCATTAGTTGAAAACAGCTAGACTCAAAATAGCCCATTAATTCTAGGACTGGTTGTCTATCAGTTGAAAAACAGGTAAACGTGAGATAGCACATTAACTCTGGGACTAGTTTTCGAACGACCGAAATGCAGGTAAACGTGAAACTGCACATAGGCAATCCAATGGAATGGAATGGGATGGTTGTCCAACAGTTGAAAATAAGAGATACTGGTACTAAACTGCAATATCCATAACGTTGAAACTAAAATTACAACATAAACTTCGATTAGACATCACAACAATTTTAAGTAATGTCATTTGTGTTATTTAGAGTTGATGTTCAAACAAAATCAAACCTAACCTAACCTAACCTAACCGAGCTCTGGCACATGCTTAAAATCTCCCATTTACCTTATAGCAAGCCAATTAAAGCGCTGCTGTAGCTATGCTAATAAGTCGCACTCGCTCTACTTGCACCGTGTCTTATCTATTGTTTGCAAGAGATCTCGGTCCCGTTGTGTTTAGACACTGATGCAAGTGTCTCAAATTACACCTCAAATACTTGTCATACATCACGAAGTGGCTCGTTTAAAGTTAAACAACATCCTATAATCTGAGCATTTGTTTACACATTAGCGTGTTTATCACAGCAGGTGTTCAGGTTTCAAGTCATAAATCAGCTGATTAAACAAAAAATGGCGCGAGTTTAGAAAAGTCTTAGTATTTTTATTTAGTTTTTTTATTTTTACTCGACAAAAGGTGGTAAAAGCACAATATTAGCAAATTCAAAAGTCCAATTCAAGTTCTGACGAAACACTTTGCTCGTGGGCTAATCGAACGTACTACATCATCATGGTCATAAATTGACAAACTATAAAAATAACCGAATGATCCCTTTGATACCATTATTTATCTGCAGGCAACCTTAGTTCAGCGCCAAAATAATGTATGACACAATGGTTACTAGATTAGGTATGATGAAATCAACATTCATCCATTCTTCTGATAATGCAATATTAAATAAATTACGTTGGAATTATTTTACGGCATACTTTTTAGTAATGGTATTTACGCCACACTACAGTATTTTGACGAACTTCCCACGCAAGGATTTGATCCAGAAATCAGCTGTTTGCTGCCAGCTTAATCAAATGGGATTTCATTACGTACTACTGTACTGTAATGAGCTTTTACCGGACACCAGCCAGCTGATTATACTGTATTTGGCAATGAGTGGTTACAAACAAAAACGGATTTGTACAGATTAGTGGTAAGGCGTAAAATATCCTAGACGTCACTCGTCCAAAATGTGTCTACCGGAATTGTATGGTAATCTCCGGGGGGAGCGAGCTGGTGTAGGCGTTGCGTAGGACTTCACCAATGGATTTATCCAAGTGATAATGCCGCAACCCCTAGGTCTAGCCTGAAGTAATGTGAAAAACAATCCCGGGCTCGTGCCTAGCGTCCTAGGGAAAAAAATGGTAACGACCACACTCGTCCGGATGTATACAATTTCTGGAACTACGTGAACGAATACAGTTCAGACAAGACTGAAACACAACATTATTTAGCAGACTACGTCAATTATACTTATATAAAACCTATTAATCAACTTACAAAAGTAACCAGAGGTGGTGCACGAGGTGAGAACCATCTCAGCAACACACAGCCACGCAAGTCGTATCTCGCCATGCAGTGTATACTGTATAGTGTATATTGTATAGTGTATAGTGTAATGTAGTTGTCGGTTACCTTGTATACTGTATACTGGGGCCGCGACGGGCGTAGGCGGAGTTATCTTATCACATCAAACAATGTCTAATGTGCCCACCTCGCGAAATAGCGCTCTTTTAAGGTGAAGCAAATTACAATGTTCATGTAGAACAAGCATTGTTCTGTTTAACTCCATAACATAACTATGGATTAAACGAATGAATTATTTTATTGGTTTATTTTCCGTATGGCTTATTTACACTTAATTGTTACGTCAAAACAGAACGAAATATTTGTTTAGAAGGGAGTTTTCTCTAGTAGCCTGTCATGACCAAACATTAAAGCAATTTTTTTTAATTTATCCTAAATTACATAGAAGAAACGTTTAGTTAACATGAACTCAAGAGTTACAGGGCATCAAGCTCAAACCCATGTTTTAGAATTTGATGAGATGTTTACTTGCAATATCCAAAGTCAATAAAAATTTATGTTTTAATTTTAAGTCAACATTTCTCCAAACTCAAGCAATACCCAATTTACATTAGATTCTCCAGAACATTGTAAACATAGATTAAGGCAGTTGGTGTTCTCTATGTAAACATTGCTGATTTTTTTGTCCAACGTAACTTGTGTCTCAAGGAGCATTTTTATAGGCCCATTACTCACTAAACACAGCTAAATGTTAAAGTTTTGATAATTTCATTCTATTTATCGCAGTTAGATAAATTAATGTAAGCCTTGAAAGTAACCGTCGATTTCGACGGGCTTCACCTAGTAAGTATTTAAACGTTTTCAAATAAAAATGCTACAAAATTGGCAGAATCCATATCACATACAATCTTTTTTCCATAAATATGTTCACAGAAATCAATTGCATAGCACACCAACAGAGACAACACTAAAAACACTTTATACGTTTCCAAGACCAACTCAAATTCAAAAATCTTTATGCGATTTAAAAAATCTCTCTTAAATATTACTACTGTATTGTCAAAAGTCATAAACTCGGACACTGATGCAATTAACTTTTCTAACTGGAGCAGTTCCTCTCAATTTGAACTGTATGGGTTGAGTATCGGGGTTCAATTGGCCATGCTGTAGTTGCCAATTGGCCATGTGTTGTTGCCAATTGACAAGTGTTTGAACCAATCAGGCACAAGCAGACCTACAAGTGCCTACGTCGAGTACAGTGGGTCAACACTGGCCATGTTACGTGGGTGGGAATTGTAGGCCAACTACTCTACAAGTGACGTGCATACAGTTTATGCTACCTTGAAACGGCAATTTTAATGTAGGAATGAAATATAACTATATTAGGAAGACCTTCAAAGATGTAGCATTACAATACTGATAGTAGAAAACTAAACTAAACTTATACAAATTTCCATAGTATAATTCAAACTATGTACTTTCAATTTCCTCGTTTAAAGTGTAAAGATGATTAACAATGTAATTAAAGAGTAAATACAACTTTGTAATATGCGTTACATTTATGGAAAACAATCAATTAAATAATGCTCGTTGCTGCAGCTTCAGACTATTCTTATAAGCGTCATGATAAATTGAATCAGCAAAGGTATTTTAGGAAACAAACTTTCAGAAACTTTTAAATAAACATATTTGGAAATAAAAAATAAAGGAAAAGTTTTCGTAAGGAATACAGATGTATAGAGATATAACTTCTACGGTGAACATAACATTCATAAGACAGCATTGTAAGTACAGTATTGTGTACTGTCCTCTGTATGTATTTTTTGTTTGACAGTAGTAACGCACGTACCTCACTTACTAATCACTTGGGATTTACGAACCTCTTGCACGCCAATTTTTCCATATGGTTCGAAATGTCAGTGTTTATTATTAAGTCCATCAATATCAACACTATTACACTTCAGTGTTACAAAACATACACGTTCACCCGCTCAGCATTCAAACAATAATGCTAATACATAGTAAAAACGTTTGATTACAATCAATAAACAATCGAATTAACTATCGTCAGAACGCATGCCAGCACTATGGTCAGCGAACTCGGGACAGGAAATGAAGTTAAGGATTCATTACCAGTCTAATTGGACTACTAAAGCCCCCAGACGCTCATCGCAGCGGATAAATTAATTCCGTCTAATTTCCAACGCCCGTCTCAACAAGTGAAAGAGACGTTCAACGTTTGATGTCTGGGCGCGAGATTGGCATGTCATTAACTTGTGAGAGGTGTTCCCGTGAAGTAATTTAGGAGATTTGGGTCTCAAAATTGTGTTATTTCATATAATTGAACTGTGAGAAATAAACCCTTTGTTAAATATAGGCTACAAATAAACACATAGGGATAATAGAGAGGAAATTGGTAGGATGTGCAGTATATCACGGAAGTCTCCATAGAGGCCTTAGATTGGACGTAATTACAGTAAAATCCAGCCAATTCTAGATAAAATTATACAACTAATTATAAATCCATTGTATTAACGATTGTTATCGTATGCACACGCAAGGATGTTTTAACAGTAGAAACTGGACCCAGCTGTTCCAGATCAAAGCTTTAAATAGATCCTGGCTAATGAAACAGCTGATCAGTAACAAAGCAATACAAATCATCACACTACATTCTTATATACTTCACTCATCCTCCAATTATATTTGGTTTAAAATAAGCATCATCTCAATTAATATATATCGTAATAATAGTTGATTGATTTTCCACGGTAATAATAACAAAACAATGATGTAGAATTAAAGATTTTAATGTTTATACGTGTTCTAACATAGAGTTATCTAACTTATTTTCCATGTAACTTAGCCGTAAACATTGCAGTGAAAGCTTATGAAGGAACACACACCGCACCTTTTGTGAAACTAAGAAACCTCTCAGGTACAATTGAATTTTAACACTTACAATTATTTCATGAAAGATAATTCCATGTATTTAAAAAAAGTAAACACTATCAAAGACGTTAGACACGATAAGTACTGAATAATTAGATCACAAATTGCAGAAGAGTACCTGGAAACACATTACAACTAGGTTAACTATAAG